CAGAGGGTGAGGGGACACCCCTAAAAAACTACCCAGAAACCCCAAATCCTGAGACGTGCAAGTGATGTCCCATGTGGTGACACCCAGGGCTGCTCTGGTCAGAGGGGGCCCAGCAGCATCACCTTGGGGTGGCCTGGTAGCAAGTTATGGGGAGGGGAGGCTTTGCTGCTGCATTTGGGGGTCTGGTTTAATCTTGGGGAGCCTCAGTTTTACTTCTGGGAGGATCTGGCTTAATCCTGGGAAGCCCAGTTTAGTCCCAGAGGGCCTGTTTTAATCCTAGGAGGAGTTTAATTCTGGGGAGCCCAGTTTAATTTGGTGAGCTTGGTTTAATCCTTGGAGTCCCCCAGTTTAAATCTAAAAAGGCCCCAGTTTATCCCTGGCAGGGCCTGGTTTAATCCTGGGGAGCTCAGTTTACTTTTGGGGAGCTTGGTTTAATCCTTGGAGTCCCCCAGTTTAGTCCTAGCAGGGCCTGGTTTAATCCTGGGGAGCTCAGCTTAATTTTGGGGGAGTCCAGTTTAATCCTGAGGCCCTTAGTTTAATCATGGGAGGGCCTGGTTTAACTCTGGGAGGGCCCCAGTTGATATTTGGAGAGGCCCTAGTTTAATTTAGGGGGTCTGGTTTTATTCTAGGGAGTCCATTTTAGTCTCAGGGACCCTGGTTTAATCCTGAGGGATCCCAGTTTGAGTCTGGAGAGGAACCAGTTTAGCCCTGTGAGGGCCCAGTTTAATCCCTGGGGAACCTAGATTAATCCTAGGGGGCCCTCATGTAATTCTAGGAGGAGTTTAATTTTGGGGGAGCATTTTAATTTGAGGGGGCAGATTTAATTTTGGGGGACCTGGTTTAATCTCAGGAGGGCCTGGTTTAACCTTGGGGAGTCCAGTTTAACCCTGAGGTGGGTGCAGTTTAGCCCTAAGAGGGCCTGGTTCAATCCTGGAGGGGACTGGTTTAATCCCAGCAGGGCTGATTCAACTTTGGGGGACCCAGTTTAACCCCTGGGGGGCAGTTTAGTCCTAGGAAGGCCTGGTTTAACCCTGGGGGGGCAGTTTAGCCCTAAGGGGGACTGTTTTAATTCGAGGGGGTGCTGGTTTAACTTTGAAGCCCTTGTTTCATCCCAGATAGGCCTGGCTTAACCCTGGGGAGCCCAGTTTAACCCTTGGGGATGCTTCTGCTTTAACCCTGGGGACCCCCTCATGGCTCCTCAGGGGCTGTCACCCCACTTTTTTTTCCCCACCCCCTCAACAGATCAAGAACCTGAACAGCGGCTTCGCCCGCCTGAAGGCCCTGGTGCCCCTGATGCCCCGGCACCGCAAGCCCAGCAAGGTCGACATGCTGCGGGCGGCCGCCCACTACATCCGCCTGCTGCGCCAGGTGCTGGCCGACGCGGGGAGCTGCCCGGTACGGGGGACACCCCGAAATGGGGAGAGGGGGTGGTGAAAAGATCATAATCAATGTAAAAAGTACTTTTTTTAGGTGGTAATAATTAAAAATTGGAATTTTCAGGCTGTATTGAATTTAGATTTTAAATTTTCAGGCCGGAATTCATTTAAAATTGGAATTTTTGGACCATAATGAATTTAGATTTTGAATTTTCAGCCTTTAACAAATTTAAAATTTGAATTTTCAGGCTGTAATTAACATAAAATCTGTATTTTCAGGCCGTAATGAATTTAGATTTTGAATTTTCAGGTTTTAACAAATTTAAAATTTGAATTTTCAGGCTGTAATTAACATAAAATCTGTATTTTCAGGCCGTAATGAATTTAGATTTTGAATTTTCAGGTTTTAACAAATTTAAAATTTGAATTTTCAGGCTGTAATTAACATAAAATCTGTATTTTCAGGCCGTAATGAATTTAGATTTTGAATTTTCAGGTTTTAACAAATTTAAAATTTGAATTTTCAGGCTGCAATGAATATGAAACTTGAATTTTCAGGCTATAACTAATGTAAAAAATTACTTTTTGGGGTTATAATTAATTTAAAATTTAAAAATAAATGGAATTATTACTGGGGGGGCTGCTTCTCAAAGCAGAAGGATGGCAGGGCTGGGGAAAAAACCCCAATTTCAGTGTTTTTTTAACTCCCCTTTGCCTTTTTCTCTCTGGTTTTCCCTGTGTCAGGACGCTGGTGCTGAGCAGGAGCCGGGCAGCAGTGGAGGGGCACCCCCAGGGGAGCCCGTGGGGCCTTGCCCTGGCAGTGCCCCCTCCTGCCCATGCGGTCCCACCGATGTCCTGCCCCCCTGCCCTGGGCCACTGCAGGAGAGCAGGGAGTTGGTGAGTTGGGGGTGATAAATTGGGGCTTGGGGGGCACCCTGAATTTGGGGGGGCACCCATGGGCCTTGCAGGGAGCTCCCACCCATGGGCTCAGGGTTTTGGGGAGCCTCTGGTTTCCAGCAACATAAATGGGGGTTGCTTTAAATCAGCTTTTAGTGCCTCCCCCCAAAAAATTATTCCAAAGGAGTAAAATAATTTTAATTCTTTTTTTTTCCAGGTTGTTCCACCCAGTCCCTAAAATCCGGGGTGCCCTGCAGAGCCCTCCCAGGTTGAAGCCTCCAGCACCCATTTTTTGGGGCCACAGCTCCTGTCTGGGGAGGACGGATCCAACCCTGCACCCCATTAAACCCAACTCCTCCCCCAAAAATGAGGGGGGTCGCATCACCCCTAAAACACAGTGGGGGGGTGAGCTGTAATTAATTGCTTTATGCAAATTGAATTAGCAATTAGCAGTGCTCCCCTCCCAGGTAGTGGATTATTTATTGCGCCTCGCTGAATAAAATGGGATCTTTTTTGGGGGGAAGGGGGGTGCTGGGTTGCACCTCTTC